ACTACATGTTATAGTAGCGCTTTTCCTGGTGCTCAAAGCGGGCTGTTACAAGGCAAGTAAATGGAAGAAAATAACAACTATATACTAGTAGTAGGTGAATGTGACTTGTTATTAGCTGCTGACGTAGCTGTACCTGATGATTGGATCACTTATAATCATTTGCTTAGTTTACTTCTATTTTGTGCCAAATAATATAACCTTGAAAACATAGCTATGTGACTAAAGCTGTGAAAATAATGCACATTATTAAATAAGTACAGCCATTTGCCTACAAAATGTAGCCATCATATGAAAGTTGGGTAACCTTAACTCACACAAGGCCGAAAGTGCTAAGCTACCTCATTTTTTTGTAAATAAAGTATTGTTAAGTGGACCTAATCATTCTATAGTTCGGAAATATGATAATTGTAGGGCAATACCATATACAAAACATGTCTCTGAAAAAATGTTTTTTTTTCAAAATACCAACGAGAATCATCCATTGTAGGCCCATCCCTCATAACTGCTCAAACCCCTCTTTTTTGAATCCCCCCTGTAGAGAAATCACAGATTTTGGGTCCTTAGCTTGAAAAAAATAAATAATGAGGAGGCGGAGTAATGCCTGATCCGAATTCTACCGGAGATAAGTTAAATTCTGCGCTCGGTGAAAAACGTCCATCCTGTCAAACCACGTCAATCGATTATCTGAAACGTATGAGCCAAATTGCTTTTCTCTTGCAGTTTATCACAAGCTGAGTGCCTTTTTTTTCCTCCTTTTAAGTCACATGTGCTCTCTAGGTACAGTTAGCTCTGAGTGTTAGCCGGAGGCTTGCCTAAGTAAAGTCAAAGACGTCCAAGAATCACGTCAGGCAGTTTGTTCGATTAGCAAACGAAAGAGTTTAGGGTTTTATTTCTGACGCTTGGCCTGTGGAGTGTGCGCGCCGGGGGGTGACGCACCGGAAGCAGGTATGGCGTATGGTGATAAGTAAGATGATCACAGAAGTGCGGGTATAGGGTCCCCTTTAAGCCTACATGCACTTAGCTGACATTCCACCACTGCCCAGTATATCCATATGGTAGTTGTGTGTATTCTTATGTATCATAAATGCACCTCAACCATGTCCATCCAATTTACCCGACCGTGTTGAGCAGTTAACTCAATCGTCCTCCAGATGATGACTCATTTTGATTGTTGAGTGCTCCGTGAAGAGGAAAACGCCATGAGCCTTCCCCCCGCCCGTGTGCGACTCATCATATGCAGCTTCAGAGAATCATCGTGCTCATTCTGTGGGGTTCCGTAGCGTCTTGGAAATCTCCACTGTAAAAGCGCCCTTGCCCATGTGGCCAGCCCAACCGTGTGGACTGCCGCCCGGCCCTCCGCCCACGCCCACCAACAGGGCGTGGGCCGCTTGCTGCTTCAGATGCGAGAGATGCGACACAAGGCACCGTGTCGAGCGAAGCCGAAAAGCACCAGAGTTCATGGGTGCCCTTTGCTGACGTTGTTTGTACTCCTCCAGATGCTGACTCCACCACCTGACGGAGCTGGTCAGGTTTGCTTTCCTCCACGCGTAGTGCGCGCGTCGCCCTTAGGGTCGGAAAGTTCGCATGAACATGCAGGCTGGGAGGGTCCTCTGCTGACCTTCCCGTCTTGGTCTGGGATCAAGATTGCTGAAGAGCCTGATGGAAGCTCTTCCTTCATGTGGCTCTGAGACACCACCGTAAGTGGCTACCAAGCCAGGAGCGTATCTGAGTCTTGGACAGACGATCATAATAAACCCTCAGCACTGAAGATCAACCAAGAAAAGAGTGAATGATACAGTGGGAAGGTTAGAGAGATGCCAACACAGACAATTTTTTCAAAGGAATACCAGTGTGATTCAGACCAAACACATAGTCAAAGTTTGCCCAAAATGATTGCGCCAAATGGCCGCTAGTTCTTTTTTGAAGTTATTCCCAAACCCTACCACTATTTGCTCTTACTCGGTCTACCTCCGATAGATACACCATATCTTTGCCAAAATATATTTGTGATGACCAAAATAACCACTCCTTTACCTGTCAATGAACTCAAGAAATGGCTGAAATGCTGTGTTAGTCCGGGTTCATAACTTTTAAATCCTAAGAACAGCGACAACCATTTTTGTTCAAAATTTTGTTTTGATGTGTTGAAATCATTTCAACTTGATCTGAGTTTGGCGTATTTCAATTGTCAGTGCAATCTGGCATCGTATCTTTGGTCTGTTACGCAGTTGCCTTTTTGTATTGTATTGTAGAAAAATCTGGCGTTTGCTTTTGTTCTGAGACACACCTTAACAGGCCCGACTAAGCTCTTGACTATAGCGAAGTATATATTGGTGTACTATTTGTATTTTCATACAAGGTTTGCTATTTATTTTACACGTGTTAAGAGGCTGCGCGCGGCTGTTCCACATACTATGTGTGTACAATGTTACCTGCGTCGACCCAGGAGCGTTTTATGAGCTGGATCTCTCTTTTCTTCCCGGTTGTTGGGTGAGGAATCAAGCGTCTAAACGGCTCTGGTCACGAGTAACATGTACATCCACATAGAGTGTGGAACAGGCTGGATCAGTCTCCTAAACGCGTGTAAATAAAATAGAAATGTATGAAAATACCAAATAGTAGAAATATATATTGCTATAGTCAAAGCTTAGTCGGCCTGTAAGGTGTGTTCAGAACAAACGCAAAGCAGGATTTTTTCTAAGATACATACAAAGCATGTAAAGACAAAGATAGGATGCAGATTTGCACTGACAATTGGAAAATAAAACTCAGATCAAGTTTGAAAATGTTTCACTACATCAAACAATTTTGAACAAAAATGGTTGTCGCTGTTCTTAGATAAAGTATGAAAACCCGACTACAACAGGCATTCAGCCATTTCTTGAGTCATTGACAGGTTACAAGGGTGGTTATTTTGTCATGGCTGGTTAAAAAAATATATTTTGGGGCAAGTATAGGTGTATACTATGGAGGTGGCCGGAGTAAGAGCAAATATGTGTGGGTTTGGAATAACCTTCAAAAAAAGATCTAGCGCCATTGGCGCAATTCTTTGGCAAACAATTTGCTATGTGTTTTGGTCTGATCACACTGGTATTCCTTGAATTGTCTGTGTTGGCATCTCTCTAAACTTTCCCATTGGTATCATTCCCAAAACTCTTTTCTTTGTTGATTCTTCAGGTGCGAGGGTTTATTATGAAAGCGTCTGGTCCAAAGACTCAGATTTCGCTCCTGGCTTGTAAGCCCGTTACAGGGTGGTGTCTCAGGCCATGAAAAGGAAGACTTTCCATCAGCCTCCAGCATTGACCAGGAACCAAGAACGGGAAGGTCACAGAAGGACCGACCTTGCGCAGCCTTCAATGTTCCTGCGACTTTCACGACCCTAAAGGGGCGACGACCGCAACCTACCGTCGAGGTGAACAACCTGACCGAGCTTCCGTCAGGTGGTGGAGTCGCATCTGGAGAAGTACAAACAACGTCAAAGCCAAGCACCCATGAATCATTGTGCCCTTCCGCTTCGCCATCGAACACGGTGTCGCACTCGTCCGCATCTGAAGCAGCCAAGCGGCCAACAGGCCCTGTTGGTGGCGTGGCGGGAGGCGGGCCGGCAGTCTCTCAACACCGGTTTGGCTGGCCCCACATGGCAAGAGCGGAACTTTTTCCAGGTGAGATTTCCAAGACCTAACGGAACCACAGATGGCACGATGATCTGAAGCTCATTAATGGATGAAGTCCACAGCAGGGCAAGCTCATGGGCGTTTTCCTCCTCACGGAACTCAAACCAAAAATGGGAAGTCCATTCTTGGAGGACGTTGGTAACACTGCTCAACAACCGGTGATGGGGAAAATTGGAATGGATGGTTGAGTTCATTTATAGGATTTACATAAGAAGAAAAAGCAATACCATATGGAATATTAATGCAATGTGGTGGGAGAATGTTCGCACTAAGGTGCAAATTAACTTAAAGGGAACCTATCATTGCATCTTTGTGATATCTTTTAATACATACATGATTGTGGTCCCCGGTGCGTCGGGGAACTCACGCAGCGTCAGAAAATAAAACCTCATCTATTTTTTCGTTGCTATCAGAAACAATGCCTGACGTGTTTTGGACGTCTTTGTTTAACATTAGCAAGCGCCTCCGCCTAACACTCAGAGCTAACCCTGTACTAGAGAGCACCATGTGTTTAAAAAGCAGGAAATAAAAAAGGAACTCACCTTGGTGATAAACCTGCAAGAGAAAAAGCATTTTGAGCTCCATATTACTGTTTACAGAAATAATCCTTGACGTGTTTAGAACAGGATGGGGACGTTTTATCACCGCAGAGAATTTAACTTTATCTCCGGCTAGAATTCGGATCAGGCATTAGCCTCCGCCTCCTCTTATTTATTTTTTTCAAGCTAAGGACCCAAAATCTGCGTTTCTCTAACAGGGCTTCAAAAGAGGGGTTTGAGCAGTATGAGGGATGGCTACAATGGATGATCTGTTTGGTATTTTGAAAAAAAAACTTCAGAGACATGTTTTGTATAGGTATTGCCCTACAATATATATTTCAACTATAGCATGATAGGTCCACTTTAAATACTTTTATTTACAAAATAAATGAGGTACTTACATTTCGCTTGTGTGGTTAAGGTTATCCCACTTTCATATGATGCTACATTTTGTAGGCAAATGCTGTACTTTTTAATAATGTGCATTTATTTTACAGCTTTAGTCACTAGCTATTTTTCAAGGTTATATTATTTGCACAAAATAGAAGTCAACTAACAAATGATTATATATGATCAATCATAGGTTAAGCTACTCAGCACTAAATAAAGTAATTCATATACTGTATATAGTTGTTATTTTTCTTCTTTACTTGCTTGTAAAGCGCTTTGAGCACCAGGAAAAGCGCTATATAACATGTAGTATTATTATTATTATATAAACAACATCTTTACCAAGCCAAAAAAGATTAAAACAATAATGCATCAATAACTATAGTAGTTTATTTCAGATACATATTTTTCTGAAATGCACCAAACTGCATACATAATAGTATGATTTTACTTAGTGTACAGATTGTTCTATTTAAAAGGCCTGTACCCAATCTACAAAACTCTGTCATCTTTTGCAGGTGCCTAACCTGTTTGCCGTTGACGAGAAGGCGGAAATGTGTGAGCGAATGCGCGTGTTGGACCGCCAACGAGACCGCGACAAACAGACAGATGGCAGCCCCCTTTCTCTTTTCAACATGTTTATAGAGCGCTGTCGCACACAGCTGCATGTGGTGTTGGCCATGAGTCCCATCGGAGACGCCTTCAGGAACCGTCTGAGACGTTTCCCCGCCCTCATTAACTGCTGCACTATTAACTGGTTCCAGGTGTGTTCATGCATGTTAGTTAATAACATCACAGAGACAATATGCTGTGTTTGACTGTGAAAATAGGTAAAAAACCATAGCAGAAATAAAGTAAATGTAATATATATGGCTACTTAGTTGTAATTTAGCGTACTTCCTTGCTTATCAGACATGGCCAGAGGATGCCCTGCAGGCGGTGGCCTGTCGCTTCCTGGAGGATGTTGAAATGACCGATGAGTCCCGAGAAGGCTGCATCAACATGTGCAAGAGCTTTCACACCTCAACCATAGAACTCTCCCATCGCTTTATGAACGAGTTGCAGCGCTACAACTACGTCACCCCAACCTCATACCTGGAACTCATTAACACTTTCAAGGCTCTGTTAAATACCAAAAGAGCGTAAGTTTTAAAGTTCACCTATTATGCAAAATGCTCTTGTTGATGTCTTTTATATATAAATATGTGTCCCTGGTGTGTAAGGAGACTCACAAAGTGTCCGAAAATACTCTCTAAAAACGGGGATACAATGGAGCTGATCCAAATTTGCTGCGGTCATGAGGACATTACTAAAATGTGGGCTGGCTTTACGTTAAACTCCAGGCAACGTTCGGCCCATCCCCTATCAGAAACGTTGCAGTATCAGAAACAATGCGCAACGTGTTTTGAAAGTAATATGGTCTGTGTTTACATTAGCAAGCATCGCTTACATTCAGAGCTAACCTGTACTGGAGAGAGTATGTGAAAAGAAGCCGGATATAAAAGGTTCCATAGAGCTCCATACTGTTTCAGAAATAATCCTTGATGTGGTTTGGAACATAATATGGCGTTTTAATCACGCCAGCGTTTAGCTGAGTATCTGGGTAGAATTCTCCTGCTTGAGCTCTCCTCTCTTTTTTATTTTTATTTAAAGCTACGGACCGAGAATCAGCACCTCTCTAACAGGGCTGAAATAGAGGGGTATGAGGCATGGCTAGAATGGGGGATCTGTTTGGTATTTTGAGCAAAACACTTCAGAGAAATGTTTTTTATATATCTGAGACCTATAATATAAACAATTGTATAATAGGAGACCTTCAAGGTTGTTTGTGTGTGGACATTATGTTTGAGTATGTTTATACTTTTAAAAGCCAACTTAAGACCCACCTTTTAATTTGGCTTTATATGAAATGCTATTTATTCTTATTTTATTCAGTCCTTTTATTTATTGATGTCAATTGGTATATGTTTTACTCTGTCTGTAGACTGATAGGTGGGGCTAGTATTTTTGTTTTTTTGTTACCTTTTTGTGTATGATAATTGCTATATAGATAATGTTGATTGAGTGAGTGAGTGATTGATTGGTTGATTGATTGATTATTTTATCATTGATCCTATAATTTAAAAGGACTTGAATTAAAATTGTTTCGAAAATAGTCTTAATTTGGAAAACTTGGCTAAATGGTCAAATTCCATGGCTAAAATTGAGACTTGATTCCTTAATTATTTCTGTCCTTTGCTCAGTGAGGTGATGAAAATGAAACGTCGCTATGAGGTGGGCCTGGAGAAGCTGGAGTCAGCAGCAGATCAGGTGGCCTCCATGCAGGTGGAGCTGGAGGCGCTACAACCGCAGCTGCTCGTGGCCAGCAAGGAGGTGGATGAGATGATGGTGGTGATCGAGCACGAGTCTGTGGAGGTGGCTGAGACAGAGAAGGTGGTGAAAGTGGACGAGGCCGTGGCCAACGAGCAAGCCATGGCTGCCAAAGCCATCAAGGATGAGTGTGATGCTGACCTGGAGGAAGCCATGCCCATCCTGGAGTCGGCGCTGTCTGCCCTGAACACTCTCACCAATCAGGTAGGACAATGCATGATCATTGACATTGTAATGCATTATAACATGCCTTTGGAACAGTATTATTATAGTTATAAGCACTCAGAAATACTCATAATGCTTTATACAATCATTACACATTATACTGTAAAGCATAAACTTGACCCTTTATTGACTTATAGGATGAAGAATCATAATACGTCATAATTGCTGGTCACTCACAGATGTTTTCTTTGCCTGTTCATAGTATATTATAATTGCCATAATTGTAAAATATTGTAATCTTTTTATATTGCATGATAATCACTGTATATTGCATTATAATGGGATAATATGTGACTCTTATTAGCCATTGTTTGAATATAGAAAGAAATTGCAAATCGCAAGTATTTTTTACTTTACCTAAAGCAAATGACCACGTACTGTATAGTTACTTATTAACCCTTTATGATGCTTTATAACAGTGATTATAATGCATTATAAAAGGATGGAACTATGGAAATGATAATGTTCTGTGAGTGACCAGTAATCATGTATAATTATTTATTATTATACTTGGCCTTACAAATCATTATGAATGAATGTTGAATGTTTCATATTTGTTATTGGTGTACTGGAATAGAATATATAATAGGACATGCATATAGAGTTGTTTTGTTTTTATCTACAGGATATCACAGTGGTGAAGTCCATGAAAAGCCCGCCCCTAGCTGTCAAACTGGTGATGGAGGCGATCTGCATTCTCAAAGGCATCAAGCCAGACCGCGTACCGGACCCCTCCGGCTCTGGTAAAAAAGTGGAGGACTTTTGGGGCCCGGCCAAAAAGATCCTGGGAGAAATGAAGTTTCTCCAAAGCCTCCATGAATATGACAAGGACAACATCCCACCCAGTTACATCGCCATCATCCGCAACAAGTACATCACCAACCCAGACTTTGTACCGGAGAAGATCCGAACTGCATCCACTGCAGCTGAAGGCCTGTGTAAATGGGTATGCGCCATGGACAAGTATGAAAAGTAAGTCATGTTCTTCTCCTCCTGTGTTCCCAGTTATGAAAATGTATGCACACTCCCCCAGCTTTAGAGAGCTTACCATCCGTCTAAGCAAGTAAATGAAGCTTGGTTATATTTAATTACACAGGAATAACTATTTTTTATCCTGAGCAAGTATACAAATGATTTGCAAAGTGATAAATATGACAAGCCAAATCAAGATGCAGATCATTTAAAAGGACATGTTCACATCATTATTTTTCCAACATAGTAAATTGTTAGCACATTTCAAATGCAAAGAAAATAGAGTAAAAATAAATATTTTTCACCTCGGGGTTCAGCAGACCTCAGATGTTCTACAAGTTTGTTCCAGATCTGCAGAGCATAAAAGCTTAAAGCTTCTTCAGCGTATTTGGTTCTGACCCTGGCTCCATTGGGTAGACCTGTCCCTGATGATCTCACAGCTCTGGGTGGCTCGTAACAGAGCAGCATGTCAGTTAGTATTGTGGTACCAAACCATTTAGCGCTTTATAAAATAAAAGAACGATTTTGATGTGTATTCTTTTTGTTTTTGGAAGCCAGTGCATACTTGGGGTGATGTGTTTAGTTTACATGAACTCTTGCAGCTAAAGGTATTCATTTAAACCCAATGTAGGCTAACAAAATGCAATGTTTCATTTGAAAAAGAAGACGCACTATATTGATTACACACTTAGGCGCGAAATACACACATGTGCGCTAATATGAGGGGTGTTAGAGCCAGGGGGCTACCATGTTTAGGCGTGTTCACACTCACTGTACTTGGTCTGACTGACGACCTTCTGGTTTAAATATATATCTATACATCTAGAATCTCTTGTAAATGATTGCTTACTGCATAATCCTTCAGGGTGGCCAAGACGGTGGCTCCCAAGAAGGAGAAGCTGGCGCAGGCTGAGGGGGAGCTGCTTGTGGCCATGACAGGCCTCCAAAAAAAACAGGCTGCCCTCAAAGAAGTCCAGGATAAACTCGCAAAACTTCAGGAGACGTTCGAAGCTAACAAGAACAAGAAAGTTGAACTGGAGAATCAGGTTTAGTGGTTTTTACATCTCTTACTTTCATTGTACATGGTTTAACAATGTGTTAAATTGGTAATCATATCTTGCTATGTAATGAAAAAAGAGTAAAAGTGTAACTACAGTGCCAAATGAAAGACGACTAAATCTGAGAGGAGAATGACAGAACACTGACAGAACTGCCAGGCAAAAGAGTGACTCGTAGCCCATATAGGCTACTGATTTCGTCCACCTTCCATGATGTCCTGCAGGTGGATCTGTGCAGTAAGAAGCTGGAGCGAGCGGAGCAGCTTATTGGAGGCTTGGGTGGAGAGAAGTCACGCTGGAGCGAAATGGCCTTCAATCTCGGAGAGCTCTACAACAACCTGACCGGGGACATCCTGATCTCAGCGGGCATCGTGGCTTACCTGGGAGCCTTCACCTCCAGCTACAGACAGGTGAGCTCAGGGAGCCGGGGGGGCATACTAGGAACAGGGCTGTCAGTGGGTACTACTCGTATTACTTATAGATCTGCACCTACATAGATTTGTAATAGATTTCACTTCTATATTTAGATTTAACATTTTAATATAACGTTTGTTGGTTTAGATTTAATATTTTAATATAACGTTTGTTGGTTTACACATAACCATATTGTTAACAGTTCCCTAACATGTTGTTTTACACACATTTCTCAAATGTAAGAAAAGGTAGATATATGTAGGGAAAGCAAGGTAAATGAATTGGTGTCTGCAGATACAGAATACAGTGGATACAGTTGTGAAAGGGGTAGAAAGAGGGGAAGACACACAGCAAATGGTCCTAGGCCAGATTTTAACCAGGGTCCTCCTAGCCCCAGTGTGTGGGTCGCAAGCTCTACCAACTGAGCTATACGGTTGTCCCCAAAGGTTTATTTTTAACTACCTCGATCACAAGGGCTCACACTTTATATCAATCTCAAGATTAAATTCACAAGTACAAATTCTTCTGCCCTTTTAAAAAAAGGGAACAGATACAAATAAAAAGACACCACTGTATGTCACAACTTTGCAGTCAAATGATCTGATTTAACCTTAAGCTGCAGTCAAAATAAAAAAAAGAATTCACAAAGCATCTGCTTGTTTGTGTAAATGAAACAAGCAGATGCTTTTTAATCACAATACTATGGCCCCTGGTGTGCCACCCAACATGTTGTTTGGAAACATGTAGGGAATGCAAGGTAAATGAGAGAAAAGTGTGTTGGTGTCTGCAGATACAGAAAACTACCACTTTTAGTGGGTCGTAAGTGATGATTGAGAAGAATCACTCTTATTTGAATCTATGCATTGTTTCTTAGGAAAATCCAGCCTTTCTGTCTTTAAAAAACTCATTACAACTTTGACCAATTCAATCCTAAAGCTGGAGAGCAGTTTGGAGGGAAGTGGTCCCTCTGAAAGGAACATTTCTTTTTCAATACCAAGAAAGTGTTTAAAGGTTGTCTATTTACTTTTTTAAAGCTGGAGACAAAAAGGAGGAGAGTGAACAAGTAATCATTTATCTGCACAGAATTGTTCGCAAGCAGATGCTTTCATTTGCTTGTAGGTTATTTCATGCTGCCCAGGTGGTAAAGTGAAAATGAAGTCATAACCAGTAAATGTGGTCCTCTGCAGGATCAAACGGAGGAGTGGATGGATCTATGCAAGAGCAGAGAGATCCCCTGCTCCCCCAACATGTCCCTGATGAACTCTCTGGGCGATCCAGTAAAGATCAGAGCCTGGACCATCGCTGGCCTCCCATCAGACAGCTTCTCCATAGACAACGGGATCATGATCTTGTGAGTATCAAAGACAAACTTTATTCCGACATGGCATTCTCTCTAGAAGAAAAATGCATCAATGTTTACTTCAGAGTTTAAGAGTTTAACGCACCAGCTACGGGGGCATCTACACCTGATCCGATTCATTTGATGGAGCAACCGACAGCCATTGTTGATGCACAATGCGTATTTTGTCTTCACAATAAAGCTTCACATTACAGTGCAAAATAAACAAGTGCTTGAATCGAAATGACAGAAAGGTCTGGACAAGATCCAGCCAGCGTCTAAAAATACAGAATGACATGAACATTAACAGAAAACTGGCTTTCAGTTTTCATAGAAGCATAAAAGCATTTCAGAGGCATGGTACCTCTGAATGTGCAGCTTGTACAGAGGTAAAGCAATGATTTAATGTTCAAAACCCAAAGGGTCTCTGCTTACTCTGAGCGTAACTATCTTTTTGGAAACTCCTGGTTTCTATTTATTTTTGGCATTTATTTTTCACTCACTCACTCACTGTGCATAATACATATGTTCCAGTGTGTGTTTGAAACCAGTGTTCAAAGGGGGAGACACACAGCAAATGGTCCTAGGCTAGATTTGAACCAGGGTCCTCCTAGCCCCAGTGTATGGGTCTCAAGCTCTACCAACTGAGCTATATGGTGGCCACCAAATGTTTATTCTTAACTACCTCGATCACAAGGGCTCACAATCTATTTAAATCTCAAAATTAAATTCAGAACTACAAATCCTTCTGCCCTTACAGACACCACTGTATGTCACAACTCTGCAGTAAGATTGTCTGATTTAACCTTAAGCTGCCGTAAAAAAATGAATATAAAATGTAGAAAGCATCTGCTTGTTTGTGTAAATGAAGCAGCAACATTGTTTTTTAATCACAATACTATGGCCCCTGGTGTGCCACCCGACTGTGAGCTGTCTGACTGTGCCTCTCTACATCTCAATTCTTGTCCTCCTGCATCCCCCCTGCTGTTTTGATGTCTCCTGGTTAACAGTTACATGATCTCTCACTCTGACAAGGCAGCACCATACGATCATTGACTGTTTTATTGTGTTTCTGTGTAGAAACGCCAGGCGCTGGCCCCTGATGATTGATCCCCAGGGACAGGCAAACAAGTGGGTGAAAAACATGGAGAAGGCCAACAGTCTGCATATCATTAAACTGAGTGACGGTGACTTTGTACGCACTCTGGAGAACTGCATCCAGTTTGGCAACCCAGGTAAGTCTGTCTAGCTTGATGACTCTGCTCTTGCTGCCTAGTCTGTGTGTGTGTGTGTGTGTGTGTGTGTGTGTGTGTGTGTGTGTGTGTGTGTGTGTGTGTGTGTGTGTGTGTGTGTGTGTGTGTGTGTGTGTGTGTGGTAGTTCCTGCTTCCGCCTGCTGAGGTCTCCCTTTACCACAGGGACTTTTTATTGCTGCAGAAGATGGTTTTTCTTTGTTCTCTATTCTGCAGAGCAGGAATTCATATAAGCAGTATTTCTGAGTGAAATGTTCCAATGAACTTTTATCCAGGCTTCCTGCACCATTATTCTAATGAACTACTGTAAATCATACACAAGTATCAGGGTCATAGTCACATGTTTGTGCAGAAGCAACTATCTTTTTGCTGTCTGTTCATTTGTTGTGTCTCTAGGATTTGTAGGGGGTTTGAGAAGGAACGGCAAGGGAGAATGGAACTGACAGAGACAGCTATACAGCCATTAAAAAGACATCTAAATAATGACCGAACTCACCAGCCACTGGGTCTTTGCTTACTGTCAGAATGCAAGGCTAACAGTTCAGAGAGTTGTTGGTCCTTGCAGGGAGCAAAATAGTCCCCAGAGGCTACAGATCCACGCTCTCTTACTTCACAGTTCCATGGTTTCTTGCTGTTTGTATTGCAGCCTACAGTATTTCCCTGATTCGTTGCTAGAAATCTCTATTTTAGGACTGTTGAACAAATGTTTCCCCGCCAAATATCTTAATAGGCTCGACTCCTGCTTATTAAATGCTAGAAAGTACTGGTTAAGCTGCTGAAATATTAACAATATTGATGAAATGTAACAGGACAAAATGGTGCCCGAAACGATTTGGAGACATTTCGAAAGTTTGGAGAGAAAGTTTCAGCTGTCACCGTCTCTGAATTCTGTATAAAAACGTTGTTATTACCTTGGGCATAAAATCAATTATAGATGGGCTAATGTTCCTAACATGAGAACAGCATTATCATACTTAATGTGAAAATAAATTAATGATGATGTCATGGGGATAAGGCATTTATAACTGGTAATGTCTTACTTGCTTCACTGATTACTTATTATGCATGTGGTGCACACATGTAATGGTTGAGGGCTTCCAAGAAATAGGAAGATGTACGCAACTAAAGTAATTGAGACATGCAAAAGAGTGACACAAAATAAGTCATTATAAGGTAGCTTTTGGGAAAAGTCCTATATTGATACTACATCATTGGCTGACCTGGTGCTAAATGTAAGTCTTTGACAGGTGGCCTGAAGATTAGACAAGATTCAAATAGATATAGTTTATTGATCCCAAATTGGGAAAATTCTTTGTTACAGCAGCATGTTAACAACGCATTGCATAAGAGTTAACATGATAATAATGTAAAATAAACATTACAATGAAAGATGAGGACCCGCGTTTGTCTGAATAAACTTGTCACCGCTCTATCTTACAGCTGTATATTGACGGAGGAGGATGATACAAGTCACACACTCGCTGGCATAACATCTTGTGTCCACCCGGCCGTTCTGCTTCAACAAACAGGCTTTTTGTTCTTTGTTATAAAAGCTTTTCCACTCATTTCTACAGTGGCATCACCTGAAGATAGCTTTCCTTTGAGATTGCTTGTATGAAGCAAAACACTGACAAGTTTAAGCCTCCCCTGATCAGAAAACCTATTTAACCTTTTCCCTCAGTGCTGCTGGAGAATGTAGGCGAGGAGCTGGACCCCATCCTGGAGCCTCTGCTGCTGAGACAGACCTTCAAACAGGGCGGGGCCATGTGTATACGCCTGGGAGACTCCACCATCGAATACGCTCCAGACTTCCGCTTTTACATCACCACCAAGCTACGCAACCCACACTACCTGCCAGAAACCTCCGTCAAGGTACTGTAGTTGGAAACACCCTCAGGCAGTGTATCCCAATACACACTTTGACTCGCTTGAAGAAACATATTTTATCAAGGCTACTTTCGGATCAAAATTACTTTACAGTAGGCTTTATGTGCTTTCTTTTATTGTATTCCATCAAAGATTTAATATGTTCCTCCTCTGACCCTCTCCCCTTTTTTTCTGCCATTGTTGTATTATCTATAGGCAAACATTTTTAGACAATAACAGGTTGTCTATCCCAATTAACATTTAGGCCATTAAGCCTAAAATATCAAGGAAAAGGCGCACCACACAAGGAAACACACTCAGACAGACAGTCAGACCCAAGTGCCTGCACACACCTTTATTCCTGACAGTAATCAGAGAGTTTCTGGCAGGAGCCACATGCCTCAGCTGTTTGCAGCAGGTGTCAGTGTTGATGCAATGAGCCCTGTGCAATCTTCCATGTCCCCACTACCCACCCCTTCCATGCAGATGGAGCTGGTACCCTTCTGTCCCACCGCAGCTAAGGATAGACGAATTTTCTACAACAAGGCTTCTGCCAACTCACAAGTTAATTGAATGCGTTTTACAGTCTCTCACAGGACTCAACAGACATCTGCATTCCTCCACCTTTAAAGTAGCATTTCTTTTACACCTGATAACAACAACTTTCATTTTTTTTGTTATTAAGCCGGATGGTATAACTGACTTTCAGTAACATGGTTTTTTCCATTGAAGAAAAAGGTCCTTTGTGGAGCACTGTGTTTACTGTTTAACTGCAACCTTCATTGTTTTTGTGAGGGAAAGCTTATTAATGCTATTGTCTTTCCTCTTAAATCGTGTGGCTTTCTTCAGTTTTGGTTGAGGTTTTAGTCACTATAGATGGAAGTATGGGCTGGTGAGTATTTGGATGAATTGCATACATTTTGTACGGACGTTAATGGTCTCCAGAGGCTGAACTCTTGTGATTTTGGTGATCCTCTGATCTTTCTTTAGTGCCACCAACAGTTCAAAGTTAAACATTTTGAGTGAAATATCTTAATATCTACCAGATGGAGATGATGTTGTCCAGAACTTCATGGTACCCAGACAATGTATCCCCTTGACTATTAGAGGATTGCTATGACATTTGCAACAAACATGCACGCCCGCCGAAGTGTAAATCGCAATCTTTTTTTTTCAAGTGACAGAATTTTCAATTTTCCAAACACATTTATTTTGTTGAACAAAAACATTACTGTCCACTCTGCTTGACTTTATGTTTAGTGCTTTTTAGCAATGGTTAGCATACTAACACACTAAACTGAGGTGTTTAAAGTGATACAAACAAGTATGAATTAGCATGTCTGGCTGTGAACTCTTAGTTTGTATGAATTCATCAGCAAATTCTACAAAATTATTATTTAAGTACCTCTGTTCCTCCAGATAGATGATCCCTCCTTTTTTACGGTTGTTTCCCTCTTATTGCATCATACTTTTTTACCCCAGCAACACAGCGAATCATCACCGATACCACCTCCCCAATGGAGCACAGTGTCCCAGAAAAAAGAGAACATTTCCAAGAAAAGGAGCATTTAAGGAAACTGCATTACAGAGAGGGGTTGGAAAGCTTTAGAAGATCACATTTCAAGCATCTATTTGCAGGGACCCACTCTTTATGGGCAGCTATTAGATAGATTCAACTCATTTTTCAAAACTGACTCAATCCTTCTTTTTTTCCCTTTTTTCCTACAGTACAGTGGGGCTTCCATTAAATCCATTAAGCCCTGTTTGAAATGCAATACTTTCAAATACAAGAAGGCAAGCTTCTGGTAGAGCAGCCCTTAAGGAGCTCAGGGGAGTGAGGAAGGAGGGTGTATGTGTGAAAAGGACAGACGGGAGATTTATGTGCACTCCGAGTCTTTACCACCAGCTGAGTGGGTCCGCAGCATCAATAGAAATGGAATTAGGCCCCGGAGAAGTGCACTCATTTATTAGGGCAGAGAGTAGATAGCAGGTATGGGCTTTTAACCTCCGGGTAAGTGCACAGCAGAATGACTAAGGCTGGGCGCTAAAAGACACACTTCCACAGTTTTCACAGTAAAAGAAAAAAGCATCTTACCTGTGCTTTGCCAAGGATAGAGCAGTTATTGGAATTGATTGGAGAGGAGGTTCGTAGGGGGTGCAGCACTGAAGCCATGATGATCAACGCTGCACTTGAAAGTACCCCACAGATACATGTCCACACTCTCACACACTCTCACACACTCTCACACACTCACGCACACACCCTAATTTGAGCATGTTTTCTTCTGCATACTGAAATGTATAGCAATGTATCAGTGTTCACTTCACCAAAAAATCGATGATTATTTTCTTTTCATGAATAAGATGATTTTTATGCCTAATTTTGTTCTTTCGCCCAGATTTGTAATCATCAAACTCTCATCACATAATGTTTTGATAAAATATTTTGTCAAATGAAAACATTTTTGGTTTCGGCTAGAAAAATAATCTGATGACAAATAAATGACATTTGTCTAAATAAAAAAGCCGATTTAGAGAGAACATTATGTGACTAAAGGTAAACAAAAATGTTACGACTCTTTGTATACTCAAACATGACCTGGTGTATCAAACTCAATTTCACTAGGACCACGCAAGGGAATGAGTATATGGCCATTTATACATACATGACCTGACATGGTTACTTGAAGTGATTTCATTTCATTTAAAAATATTTACAAAAATATATAAAATCAACCTTCGATTATATTGTTGCATGTCACATTAGCCATATTGTCATTGGTCCACATAAAACCCTAAAAAGTCATTACATTAAAATTGTGCTCAGCCATCATACAATGCAGCCAAGCACAATAATGCATAATGCAAAAATGGATAAAGTCTTGATAATGTAGTAAATGTCTCCTGAATCCTAGCCTACTGGCAAGCAATCATCGGCACATACATCCTTAAAAATGTAAATAAACCTTTAGTTTGACACTTTCAAACTGAAAACTGCTCTTTCTTTCGACCTCTGTACTTTAGGTCACCCTTCTGAACTTCATGATCACCCCTGAAGGCATCCAAGACCAGCTGCTTGGTATCGTGGTGGCTCGGGAAAGGCCCGACTTGGAGGAAGAGAAACAGGCTCTTATCCTGCAGGGAGCAGAGAATAAAAGGTACTGTAGCACACTCCAGACTCAGGTCAAATGATTTCCATTAGTCAAATCCAAATGTCTCCCTCTACAAACACATGTTGAATTGTCCTCCAGACAACTAAAGGAGATCGAGGACAAAATCTTAGAGGTGCTGTCCTCTTCCGAGGGCAACATCCTGGAGGATGAGACGGCCGTCAAGATCCTCTCCTGCTCGAAAGTGCTGGCCAATGAGATCTCAGAGAAGCAAGCTGTGGCCGAGGTGACGGAGCGGATGATCGACGAGACCCGCATGGGTTACACCCCCATCGCCATGCATTCAGCCATCTTGTTCTTCTCCATCGCTGACCTTGCGAATATCGAGCCCATGTACCAGTACTCCCTCACCTGGTTCATTAACCTCTTCATCAGCTCCATCGACAACTCAGAGAAGAGTGAAGACTTGGAGCAGAGGTAGGCAGGGCTGACAAATGCACTGGCAAAGCACATGTTCCCACAAAAAGCTCCCTTTTCACTCGAAATGCCTTATTTTACTTGTCAACTTACAAAAAAGGAATGTAAGACTAGGTATTGACTCTTTGCTAAGCCCCTCCTCTCTTGTCGTTAGGCCTCCTGTCAATGTGGCTTTTTTAACAATAACAGTGAGAGACATTCCAAATTGGAATGTCTCTCACTGTTATTGTTAAAAAAGCCACATTGACAGGAGGCCTAACGACAAGAGAGGAGGGGCTTAGCAAAGAGTCAATACCTAGTCTTANAATAAGAGGAGGCGGAGCTAATGCCTGATCCGAATTCTACCGGAGATAAAGTTAAATTCTGCGGTGATAAAACGCCGTCCTGTTCTAAACCACGTCAAGGATTATTTCTGAAACAGTATGGAGCTCAAATGCTTTTTCTCTTGCAGGTTTATCACAAGGTGAGTTCCTTTTTTATTTCCTGCTTTTTAAACACATGTGCTCTCTAGTACAGGTTAGCTCTGAGTGTTAGCGAGGCTTGCTAATGTAAACAAAGACGTCCAAAACACGTCAGGCATTGTTTCTGATAGCAACGAAAAGAGAGAGGGTTTTATTTTCTGACGCTGCGTGAGTTCCCCGACGCACCGGGGACACATATGTATGTATAAAAGATATCACAAAGTGCATGATAGGTCCCCTTTAAGTAATGCACTTAGTGACATTCCACCACTGCATATATCCATATGTATTGCTTTTATCTTATGTAATCTATAAATGAACTCAACCATCCATCCAATTTACCTCACCGGTGTTGAGCAGGTTACCAACGTCCTCCAAGAATGACTCCATTTTGATTTGAGTGTCCGTGAAGAGGAAAACGCCATGAGCTTCCCCCTGTGTGGACTTCATCATAATGAGCTTCAGATCATCGTGCCATTCTGTGGTTCCGTAGGTCTTGGAAATCTCCACCTGGAAAAGTTCCGCCTCTGCCATGTGGGCAGCCAACCGTGTGAGAGACTGCCGCCCGCTCCCGCCCACGCCCACCAACAGGGCGTGGCCGCTTGGCTGCTTCAGAATGCGAGAGATGCGACACACGTGTTCGATGGCGAAGCGGAAGAGCACCAGATTCATGGGTGCTTTGCTGACGTTGTTGTACTCCTCCAGATGTGACTCCACCACCTGACGGAGCTGGTCCAGGTTGTTCACCTCACGGTAGTTGCGGTCGTCGCCCTTAGGGTCGTGAAAGTCGCAGAACATGAGGCTGCGCAGGTCGTCCTCTGTGACCTTCCCGTCTTGGTCCTGGTCAAGATGCTGGAAGAGCTGATGGAAGTCTTCCTTCATGTGGCTCTGAGACACCACCTGTAAGTGGCTTACAAGCCAGGAGCGATCTGAGTCTTGGACCAGACGATCATAATAAACCCTCAGCACCTGAAGATCAACAAGAAAAGAGTGAATGATACAGTGGGAAAGGTTTAGAGAGATGCCAACACAGACAATTTCAAAGGAATACCAGTGTGATCAGACCAAACACATAGCAAATGTTTGCCCAAATGAATTGCGCCAAATTGGCCGCTAGATCTTTTTTGAAGTTATTCCAAACCCACACATATTTGCTCTTACTCCGGCTCACCTCCATAGATACACCATACTTGCCAAAATATATTTTTTTAACCAGCCATGACCAAAATAACCACCCTTGTACCTGTCAATGAACTCCAAGAAATGGCTGAAATGCTGTGTAGTCCGGGGTTCATAACTTTATCCTAAGAACAGCGACAACATTTTTGTTCAAAATTGTTTTGATGTAGTTGAAACATTTCAACTTGATCTGAGTTTTATTTCAATTGTCAGGTGCAAATCTGCATCTATCTTTGTCTTTACATTGCCTTTGTATGTATTTAGAAAAATCTGCTTTGCGTTTGTTCTGAACACACCTTAACAGGCCGACTAAGCTTGACTATAGCAATATATATTTCTACTATTTGTATTTTCATACATTTCTATTTTATTTACACGTTTAAGGAGCTGTCAGCTGTTCCACACTCTATGTGGTGTACAATGTTACCTCGTGCACCCAGAGCCGTTTTATGACGCTTGGGTTATCTGCACTCTCTGGACGCGACAGGCAGATGCCTTGGATGACCCTGGAGACATCGCGCAGATTGAACAAGTAATGGGACTTTGTGGGCGTTGGGAGCAGGTTCTTGGTGGCTTCCTCGTACACTGACATGGTGCCCCTAACGATCTGAGAGGTCAGAGCTGCAAATAGCTTGGGGAAAGGAAACCTGTAGATGTAATAGTTAGAATTCAATCATTTATTGTTGTACAGTTTTTAAATAAATACGTGAAGTAAATAAGATTAATGTTTTTTATCTTTTATCAATGGCTTTAATAATGTGTTGGCAGAAAGGCAAGTATCTTGTTAAAATGCGATATGAAAAGAGATATTTCTTTTTGCAGGTGAGGTTAGGTTGCTTTAAACAATTTTAACACATTTACGTTTACTTGTGCACTCTATGGTTAACACTGTTGCAGTAAGTGAGGAGAAAAAGCACTGAAATTGCCTAATTATTGAAAAACGAACCAATGTTAAATAATTCTTTAATAACTCACATTCATCCTCCTTACTGTAGGCTAAATGATTTTTGGTAAGTCATTATTTACAGATCATTCTGTCACTAAAAGATCCATAAGCACTACCCAAGGACTTAAATAATTGTTGTGTTAAATGCCCACAAGGCATTAGAGCAGCTCAGTGGATTATGATTACTCCTTAACATTGGGAACATTTGGGGAAAATCACGTAATAAATTGAACAAGCTACGTAGTTACCGTATGCTGAAATGCCAGTCTGAGATCCTAGAGAAGATTGTATACATGGTCTTCTCATCAAAATCATTAATGGTAATCATGTTGAAGTGGCGCAGGTACCGAGACGTGATGGGGTTTCTCCCTCCGCCTAAACAAGCAGGACAAGAAAACAAAAAATATCTTCATTGAAAAAGATAACACATCTGATGAATATGTGTTAACCATTTTTCTTTCGTGAGACTCTTTGCCCAAAACAGTTTAAAGTAAAGCCAATACTGTTCTATTCTCTTTTTGTTTTATAATAATACTGTTATTTCAGTTTTGAAGTGAGTAAAGACTATTTGACAGTGCTGCATATTACATTAAATGTACATTAAGCTGATGCTAAGAGAACGACTTATATACACAAAAATACTGAAGATATGCCTACGGGAGCAATTTGGGGCTAAGCATCTTGCCCAAAGACACTTCAACATATTGACTGAAGGAGTTGAGGATGGAACCACTGACCATCTTAATGGTGGATCAGCAAATGAACCCCAAAAGCTGCACATTTTTCTCTCATGCTCTAAATAATGTTAAACTATTCCGGTAACCACATTCAACATTGGACATGGACAGGGAAACCAGTTACTGTATGTCTCAGGGTGTCTTAAGGAAAGTTTGAGGACCGCTGACAGACATTATTCCTACTAGCTACGTGTTGGTCATGTTCGAGGTACACAAGTTTACAATAGCACATTGATAAATCATTTTAGCCAACTCATATCATTAATACGGCAAGTGTAAATCACCACTATAATGACTGTGAAAAGGTGTTATTTAATTTAAAATAAGGGTAAAAACACAAAAGAAGCCTCCTTCATGGTTTCCCTGGGGTGGGTTCATTGTTCCCCACAGCTGTAATGGGCAGCAGCCTAGAAAATTAAATACAACTATAAACAGCAGCAGAGACTGAAGCTTTGAGGGCACCTGAGTGTGGCACCCATCCCCTCCTTTGCTCTCTATTGCAGCTGTCGCAGCCAGATGCCTCAGTTGACATGGGTGCTTTGTGTATACACTGGTAGTTGTAGTAGAGTCGGAAGTGGTAAACACTTGTAAACACCTCAAGGCAGTGACGGGCTGCACAGAACAGCAGCCAGTGGTTTGTGACATTGACTCAATAGCACTTTAGCAGCAATTTAGAGACGGTTGAAAAAAGGTTTTCACTCAAATAGATGCCTTTTGTTGACTTTTGTCAATCTAGGGCTTTGGTATGATTTCTGTGACAATACAGTGGTGCAGGAATGAGTCCGAAAAAATCTGAAATGAGTCAGTATTATGCGACTTCCGGTTGGCTCCGTTGAAGTCAATGTTTTTTGTATGGGTTTTTTGTTAGATGCCCAAAATAAGGTCTGCAGTTATAAGCATAGAAGATATTAACATTTTGTTCTACGACATAAAAAGCTTCAGTTAATATCCCACTGGAAAATGTCTGTAACTTCAATTTGACATAAAAACAGCAGTTGCTAACAGGTGACCAAATTAGACTACTTAATGCTACCAAGCCAAACATTAGCCGCCTTAGCTCAGAGGTGGTGAAAAAATGTCAGAGCTTTTTGTTGAAGGAGCCCTCGCGATGCTTACTTCCAGGTCAGCCTACAGAAATATGTCATCATTGCACCACTCACATACTCTTCTGCTGCTACTCACCCGGTGGTCCCATAGCGCAGATGACCTGGATGTCCACCAGCTTGATCATGGAGCAGTCCTTCAGGTCGTACCAGTTCCAGTGGTCCAGCCACTGGCGCAGCAGCTCCACGGGGGGCTGGGCACCGTAAACCTCCCGGGCCGGCATGTTCACATCATCCACAAATATCACCTGGTGATTAGATATAAGAATAATAATGATAATAATAATAATAATAACACATTCAACTTATAAAGTGCTTTTCTAGATACCCAAAGTCACTTAGAAAGTCAAACGTTAAACAAAACAAACAAAGATGAGATGTAGTGAATTAGAAACAATACAAAGAGGTGGGTTTCGAGTGCTTGTTTGAATGATGGCAGGGTGGTTGACTGTCTGATGTGGAAGGGGGAGGGCGTTCCAGAGGGAAGACGCAGCAGCAGATTAGGCCCGATCACTCCAGATCCCGAGCTTAGTCCTGGTGGTCTTTAGGGTGTTTGCATTTCCGGAGCTGGCAATGGGTGGGGTTGTGAGGATGGAGGAGGTCAGAGAGATAAGGACTGGCCAGCTTGTTGAGGGCTTTGTATGTGGTGATCAGAATTTTAAAGTCAATCCTGTATTTGACCGGGAGACAGGGGAGGTTTTGGAGGGCCGGAGTGATGTAGTCTCTGCGGAGTTCTGGACATAGTGGAATTTATTGATGATTTTGCTGGGTGAACAGTATAGGATGCTATTGCAGTGGTCGAGTCTAGAAGTGATGAGGGCGTCAATGAGGGTTTCAGCGTCAGTAAAAGAGAGGGAGGGTCAGAGACGGGCAATGTTCTTTAAGTGAAAAGGGTTTGGTGATGTGGCAGGAAGGAGAGTGTGGGCTCAAAGAGGATACCAAGGTTGCGGATCTGAGTAGAGGGGGTGACGTTTGAGCCGTCGATGGTGAGTGAGAATGACTGGCAGAGCGGGAGAGGGAATTTGGGCCAATGATGATTATTTCAGATTTATTGCACTTGAGTTGGAGGAAGTTTTCTTGCATCCATGTTTCGAGATCCGTAAGGCAGGCGGTGAGGGTGGAGTGGGTGGTGGATGTGATGGTTTTTGAGGAGAAGTAGACACTAGTATATTTGGGATAGGATTATTTAAAAATAAAGCACAATATTTTTGATATTGACTATTGTTTTTTGTTTAGATGCACAGTTTGGCGCATGTTGCATGTAAATGGACGTATACAAATTAGAGGGTCATGGTTTGACCTTGTAGTCCACATGTCGATGTGTCCTTGGGCAAGATGTTAACCCATAAATGCTACCGTAGGAATGTAGCCATCTACAGTATTGAAGTGTATGTAAGTTGCTTTGGATAAAAGCTAAACAAAAAAAATGTACAAATGTAACAATTTGAGTCACCCATTTACTGATATGAATACAAATGGAAAAAGGCATACCAACAAAAGACTTCATATGAACACAATAAAAGGGGTTTACCATTTTCTTTCCCAAAGGGGGTCCAAAGACTCCTTTGCGCCGCTTATCCAGCTTGGACATAATAATGTTTTGTGTCTGTGCCGCTGTGGTCTGGGCTGAGAAGTTGATGAATAATGGGCTGTAGACATCCTTCTCCAGCTGGTTCAAGAGAAAGTCCTGAGAAATAAGACATTGGAAATATAAACATAGTTGTTTATCATCAAATCTCATAGTGCAGGAGTTTCACCAAAGAAAAAGCTAGATGTTAATGCTGTTGAAAATGTAAATCTATTTATTGATATGTATTTTCACATTCTATTCTTAATTAGCATGCCAAAGAGCCTGTTCAGGTAGAGTACACATTAAATGGCAATTTCCAGGCTGATCCTGGCAAATGCTTGTGATAAGCTTTGTAATCTAATTAAATGTGGCATTTAGTGAGTATTTCATTAGATCAGAACTGGATCGCAGTTTTAATCCTTGAAAGTGACTTTGTAATGAAGCGGGGAATTAGTTGCCCTCTGAGGACAGAATCTTAAATAATGTTCTGCGTGTCAAAGGGGTGAAATCAATTAATTTTTTTATTCTGTAAGAGGGTTTAAAAAAGGGCATTTCACTTTGATGCTTAAAGAGGCATTTATGAGTGGCCATTCGATAAAATGCCCTTACGGCAAACGGCCTTCACTTGTCTTTTTATAAGAGCAGAAAAAACAAACGTAGTCTAGGATGATCTGTTGGTTTTGATCAGGTTTTATGGTGCTGTTTCCATGTACCATGTGTGTCCAGAGCACATGACATAGCTGGCCTTAGGATCAAGTGTGAAAATAAGTGTTAAATACATCTTGTAGGAGACATCGATGTTTATTGTTGGCGTGTCAGTTTATTTTGTCTAGATTTATCATGCATTATTGTTTTGAACACTTGGCGGGGTTTAGCTGCACGGGTTGTATAAATGGGGTCATACTGTAGGTGACAGGAAAAGGCGGGCACAGGAAGAGCGATAACACACCGTTCTTACCAGATGCAGAATCAAACCTTGGTATTGTACAACCTCTTCAATAAACACTAAACTGCATCCAACGACCGTAGTTTGTGTCTCACCTGAGTATTAATGGAGACATTGGGATATTTAAATGGCCATTACACATGTAGTTAGGTTAAACGTACAATATTTGCCTCAAAATGTGGTGGAATTAAGTATAAAATAGCATAAATGGAAATACTCAAGTAGAGTAGAAGTATGTCAAAATAGTGCAGTAGTTAATCAAATGTACACTATTACAGTCCACCACTGATGAGCCTCTTTTTGTCTAGATCATCCAGTGGCAAGGCCTCTCTCTATCTCACTTAACAGTGACTTAAGGAGACTTGTGTCTAATTGTACTGGGGGTGATGTCATAATTTTTGGTCTGACTGCTGGTGCTGCTCCTGCCAGATTTGGGTTTACAGCCACGGTCTGCTGGTAGAGGCTTGGGACAGGCAGGCAGGAAGTGGAGAACAAGGCAGCTGATCTCTATTCACCCCAGAGTCTCAAGTTTGAGCACACAAATGAATGAACTAATGAACCATAGTGAAGGAGGGGGGGTAAGTCCTTGATATAAAAAGCTGAAGGTCTGCAGAGATACTCAGTATTCCTCCAAGGTGGCCCCTTTCACACCTGGTGAGTAGCTGTGTTGCCTCCAAATGATTTCTACACTTCCCGAGGCCGGAACTACAGAAATAAATGCTCACTCATGCTACTGGAAGGTGCTGTTAGTAGCATAGGAGGTTTTGGTTGAAAATACCAAATCTTGAATGGACTACACAGCGGGTGTACATGAATGCAACTCAACGACGCTAATTTCAAATGTATTTAATATTGTAGGGGCGCCTTTAGGTAACACAAATCTGTGGACGACTTTTGTTTGTTGTTAAATTCCATTGAAGCCATTTTAACATACACGTACACATACACAGAAAGCATACAAATCCAACTGTCCAATCACATGTTGTATTATCCGTTTTGTTTCGGTCTTCCTCTGTATTTTATCATTTGTCTCTGTTTAACGTTCTAAAATCGTCTTTTGTCTGTATCAAGGACAATGTTTTTGTCTACACCTCGTTTATTTATTACAGCAAAACAATGGGGACTTATGGGAAAAATTACAAAGTACGTGTTAGTCTTTCTGACAAAATAAAGCTACTGCAACACCTAAAATGTGTGCAACATCTTTTAAAAGATATTTATTTGTTCTGTTTGGTCACTCAAAAATATCAAAATGAATGTTAAGTAACTATTGCTGATAGAAAAAATTGTGGCTGTGGTACTTCTGCATCATTCTCAATTTGAATAGCTTTCTGCTCATCACAAACACACGTACATTTTTCCAAGCTTTACATTCATAAACTCACTGTGATGTAGACACTCTTGCCAGTCCCGGTGGGGCCGATGAATATGGTGGGTTTCTGGTGGGTGATGAGGAGCTCCATCAGTGCCATGTAGCGCACCGTGTTCTCAGTGGGCACGATGATCTCATTGAACTGCATGTCTTTGCATAAGGGGGGAGCCGCCTTCAGCTGATCGGTCCACAGCTCCCACCTGCCCGGACCCTGAAGAGGAAGAACAAAACAGAACAAACTCTTATCTTATTGACCCGTTCTTACCAATTGTCTGCAAAAATATTAATGTTATTTTATTTCTGACCATACCTACTTTTATCCTAAAACCAAGTTGTAAGGGCAAATCTATTTTTTTTTAAGATGTAAAAACGTGCCGTAACAATTAGCTCGACTAAAACAATCTTGTATGAAATATAACCATGAAAATGAATAACATTTATTGTAAAATAATTACAAAAATATCACAAAATGTTGATCTACGTATTATACATTTTTGTCTATCAACACCTTTTTTCAAAACAGACTAAGAAAAAGAATGTCTGAAATGTAGTTCATACAGTATGGGGGAATTGGACTGAGTTTGGTTTTGCTTTGAACACAATGCTTTGTTTAACATCTTCCATAATAAAATAAGTATTTACTGGCAGCAAATTCATGCAGGTGGAGCCATGTAACGGAAAAATAATCCTGACAATATTTAAAGGTCACACAAAGATACAAATGTGCATTTATTCTTCCACAGTGTCTGGGGAGAAAGAAAATGTAATACAGGAATGTTTCTCTTTTAGTCTAGTGCCTGAGATCCAATCTAGAGTAGGATCTCTTTGTTTGTAGTCAGTTATTGTCATTTCAGAATCCTTTTGTCTCCCTATTTTTTATGCAGACTCCCAGCAGAAAGCATAGAGCCTGGCACATTTCGTCAAGAGATTGCACCTCTTGTATCTCCCTCAGGCTAGAGGACCAGCTGTCTATGACGTCCTTCTTAACCTTTAGAGGGCGTCTGTAATGATTTGGATTCTAAACATGTGATGGCATGAAGCAAAATATGTTAACGACCCTTCATAGTTGGTTAAATATGCTAACAAACAGAGTATTGGTCAGCACTGACTGTAGCTCAAAACTAATTTCCACTACAAGCCCTGCCTACCTCTTTAATGAAGCGATGCTGGTAGACTGTTTCCTCTGAGGGCAGTGCCACTGTGAACTGTTTGGCTGGAGCCTCCACGGTGGCCAGGATGCCATGGAGGGCGCGGGTTTCGTCACTCAAAGGGCCGCTCACTACCTCCCTGACCACGGCGTCAAACTTGACCCGTCCTGGATCATCACAGCTGGCACCCACTGACCACACCAGGCAAAACACGAAGATTCCCTGTTGAAAAGGAAAGGACAAACGCATGTATATCAAGTGGTCCATGACAGCAGTTATGGAAAAAACAACAATCATTGGTGACAGTTAAAGAATAATTGTACCTAAGTACAAGTATACAGGACTGTCTCAGAAAATTAGAATATTGTGATAAAGTTCTTTATTTTCTGTAATGCAATTAAAAAAACAAAAATGTCATACATTCTGGATTCATTACAAATCAACTGAAATATTGCAAGCCTTTTATTATTTTAATATTGCTGATTATGGCATACAGCTTAAGAAAACTCAAAAATCCTATCTACTAA